TTGCAAATCATACCTTGACTATGCAGAGTCGTGAGAATATAAACAATACATCCACTATGCCAGCTAATGTCACGTTATGTATGGGAAAATTAACATAAAACATAAATATCTCACCAACAAAAATTAAAAAATAAATAAATAAATCATTATTAATTTTCAAATCATATAAATTAAAAGAAAAATGCTAAATAATCTAGGCTATACATATTTTCCTGTAGCTTCTTAGATATCAGCCCCATATGCTCTCGAGTCCAGGGTATACAATAGAAAATTCCGCACATTTTTCGTAGCCAACATTTCCTCAGGGCATGACCTAGAAAAATAAGTAACTTGAGCTACGGCAAGGCGAATTGCGGGCAACTTAATAAGTAGCAGGAGGCTGGCTGGTGTCTGACCCGGTGGCATGCCGCATGTGGCATAAACCATGTGCGCTTGTGGTCATAATGAATTGATTTATTTCCATTCACTGCATATTTTTGATTTTTTTTTTTTTTCTTAGTTCATAATTAGTTGCAGCTTGTTTGCAAATTGATTGAGCATCCAGTTGATTGGAAGCTCATTCATTTATGTCTTCGGGGTAGCTCGTCTTTCGCAATGCCCGCATTATCTATCAATAATTTAATTAATTTTCATTTGGCTCAATTTGCAAATAAATATAAGCACGTAAGATGCCAATGTGTGTGTGTGTGTGTGTACGTGACATACAAATTAAAATAAATGGCATCATTGAAATGCAAATAAATATTAATTAGGATTATATTAACAATTGAGCTGTATTAAATACGAATGGGAATAAAATTCTATTTCGAATAAATGCAACTTTGCTTTAAGTACTTTAAATGAAATGCAATAGAAATAAGATACCAAATAGAAATTGAAGATACAAATTATTATTATTAATAATTATTATTAAATCAATGCAACATGACCAACATAGCAAAAAAAAATATTTTCATCTATTATCTAATTGAAATTTTTCGATTTGTTATGCTCCAATAGGCAGCTCATCAAATTCCTGTGGTCTCTTTTTGGAATTACCATTTAAATTGGCTTAAATATTGCTGAAGTATTTTTCATAATTTATAATAGTTTTTAGCTTTTGTGTTTGTTTTATTTTTATAGCAATCGAGCTCAATTGAATGTTCTTAATTAAATAAATATTGATGCTGCGCAATACTAAGTCATTATTTTAACAGTTAAATACTTGAATCAAAATCTAAGTTACTTTAATTGCATGCGTACAAGCATAAATATTAATTTAATTATTTATTAATTAATTAAATTTTTTAAACATATACAATATTCTATAAAACAATATCTACAGAAATATCTTTTTATAAAATATTTATATTTTATAAAAATTAATAAAGAATTAAAATAATATTTATACTTGTGCGCAATTAAGGAAAAAAATAAAATTCAATTAGTTAATTGAATTACTTACACTAACTTTAACTCATCTCACTTAAGGCAAAACTTTTCTATTTTCTAGATATTTGGCATATTTTTACTGTTATTTTTGTATTTTCACAATTTGTATGAAAATCTGTTTGCCAAAAAGTTTTTTGACCTCCCATTTTCATTCCCTTACGCCTTTAAATCTCTGTTAATTTTAGTCACATGATTTCATGGACTCTATCGATTTGCCTGAAACAGTTGCCAAAAAAAAAAATAAAATAAAAACCGCTCCAATGCCAGCCGAAGGATGTGCGGCAAATCTGTCTGGCGCCGGCCGGCGCCGTCTGGACGGCATTCTCTTCCAAGGCGAACAAAACAACGTGTAACCTTAACACACGCCGTTTAACAAACACCCCTCGAACGCCACCAACCACCCCGACACGCCCACAGATGCGTTCATTATGTAAGAGGCGAAAACAATTTTTGGCCGCTGGCAGCGCAGCGCTGATAAAGCATAAAATTGTCCTTTTTGGGACATAGTTGTTGAGATGCTTGCTTGCAGCACTTGAAGCCGCACTCGGCCAGGCCAACAGAGAGTCAACAACATTAGGCCAAGACAAAGCGCGCAATGGGCGTCATAATAAGGCGAAAACAATGCTACGGATTAAGTGGGTCCACAATGCATTGCGCTTGTTGCGGGTTTGTTGCCATTGCAACCAGTTCACGCTCCCACTATCTCTCTCTCTCTCTCTCTCTCTAAATATGTCCGCTTGTCCCGTGCAGCTTGTCCTTTTGTCAGAACTACAATTGTGCTGCTCGAGGCTTGTTGCTGCTTGTTTGTTGCGCTTTTGTGTCGAGCACATGAACATGTGGCTTGTTTGTCTAGTTGTTGCCCCATTGCCTCGCTGCCACAGCGACTGCCCAGAGGCAGCTCGGCAGCAATTCTGCAATCGACGAGTGCTCGACTTTATAAGCATTAATGCCTTTTCCTTTGCCCAGATTCGCATCGCAAAGTAAATGCCTTAATGCGCTTATCCTTTTAGCGTCAGTTGAGCATTCGATTTACTTAGACCCAGCACGTCGGCCAGCCTCCATGAGCAGGAGTCCTCCACTTCGATACTTTAACAGTTGCATTCCCGATCTCTGCCAGCTTTAGCGCTCGTTCTCGTCTTTGTAGTGCAGTGCAAATACTGCTGCCAACATTTGTCGTTGTCGCTGCTGCTCTCAGCAGTCGTTAGGTGTGAAAATAATACGAATGCTCCGCTGGCTGCCACACAGTTGACACATATCACGAGTGCGCCGACATCTGCAGGCCTGACGAGGGCCGCCACTAAAGTTTGCCTCGACTTTTCTCAGTAATAAGATCCTGTAACAATTCTGTAACAACCCATGTTAAAGAGTACAAAGAAGAGACAAATGCAAGTCCATCTGAACTGTTTGGAAGAAGTCAAACATCATATCATTCAATATTTTATCTTAAGCTTGAAGCACTCAGTAATCTGCAAATTTGTATAAAATGGCTTAGAATAATCTTAACAATAAATTTAATATTTATTGTTTTATTATACTCCGATCCCTTGATGCTCTTATTTAGTCACGCGATACAAAGATCTGGTGGCTTTCAATACCTCAGCAAGCCATATTAATTTATGCATTTGCTCTCAGGCATTGCTCTCTCTCATTGTTCTCCGCTTTCATATGCTTGGCACCTGCTGTCTCTCTGCTCTTATTATCTATTGTCACGACTGAAAAGAAGCTGTCATCTAAGCTTCAGACTCAGCCACTCCTATTCGATGCCCGTTTCTCTCCTTTCTACTGCTGCAAGTCTCAAGCTCTGCGCTTTGAGCTGTAGCTTTATTTAGCTAAAGCCTTACTTTCATTAAATCAATTTTATCAACTGCTATGAAGACCCTCGCTTAGGTTGCAACTCCAGACCCTACGGTCGGCCAAGCAGGTTGAAAGCCAGTCAATTTTCGCACGCTCACGCGTCAATGAACGATTTGGTTTGGGCCTCGTTCGGGTTCGTTGACAGCCTGTCAGGCCGTCTGTCAAATATTTGCACAGTTGTTAAATTTCATCAGTGGCATGTCGCGGCTTCACAGCACCCATCGACAATTAACCTCATACGAGCACGAAAAAACAAAAAATGTAAATAAAAAACTGAGCCGAACCGAACTGAACTGGTGAGTGGTAACAGGAAAAGGGCAAGCAGCAGCTGCCGTCATTTTCAGAGGCGTGGCAGAGCGCAAACTACGCTAATTAACAAGCAATTATAGCGCCCAAAGAACTTGACAAAACACAGCTGTTGTGCTGCCAGCCACATTTTACAACAACAGTGGCCAAAGAAAAACAATTTGGCAACACTATGCAAAATGCAATCCTGTGCTTTCCGTTAACTTTACGGCGTAAACCACGGAAGGGCAGCAGCAATGGCAACGGCAACGGCAACGGCAACTTCCGCTGCTTATCGCCGCACACTTTGGCAGCAAAGTTTGCTTAATGCTTGATATACATACATACATATGCAGCACATCTATGTAGGTAGAAATACAATTATATATATATAGACATACACTTATACACACATACACAACATACACCCATGCATGCATGGGCATATAGAGTTGTGTGTGGCTGACATGAAACGCCATTGTTTATTTAAGCCAATATCCGTTATTTAAGTTGAGCTTCCTTCCGCCAACCATTTGTTGCCGTCGTTATGTTGTCAGCTGTTTGTTTGGCTTTTGTTTGAAATATTTAGCACTGGGTCCAAGTAAACAGCAAAAAACACCGCCTCTATTTGAACAAAAGTTCAACAAGACAAATAACAGTGACAACAACGACAACAACAACAACAACAACAACAGCAATAGCATATGGCTGCACTGGTCTGGCCAAAGTTTACGAGCAACTAAAGGGAAGTGTGAACTTTTCGCCATTAAATAAAGTTACGGTCACAGTCAGTCAGACTGGCAAAAGGGTGCAGGGTATGGGCTGGACAGCGCGCGCATCGTACGGCACGGACATGCAATAAATTTGCCGTAGAAAATCTTTGTCAAATTTACCATCTCTTTGGACCTCAAATCAATGCAATTGGCCAAACAAAGTGCATTCCAATAAGCGACACATTTACTCGAGGTCAGCAAACACAGGGCAAGGCAAGCAGAGCAATAAAAAGAAATAAAATAAAAGAAAAACGAGAAACTAAGAAAGCGGAAGAGAAAGCAAGAAAACTGGAATTCCCTAGAAATGTGTGTGCGACAAATGTGCACTCAGCTGTGTGATAGACATGTGTGTGTGGGTGTGTGTGCATGTGTGTCGAGTATAACACAAAGGGCGTAAACGTCAGACATTAACATTGACATCATACAAATTGCGCTTAAATCGAGCTGCCCGTACTTAAAGCCTTTGAAATATTGCACTGTTCGGCTTTTACCGCTGCTTCGGCAACTCATGAATGGAAGACTCCCAAAAGGGAATTGGCAACAACAAAGCTAACTGGGCAATCAATTGAGCTCAGCCCATAACTAGGCAACAGGAATTGTTTAACTGACATAAAATTCCCAATCAGTTGTAACAGCTCCACTACATACATAGCTGACATCTTAAGTGTGTTTGCATCTTCTTTTCATTTCAGAAATGGCTTCGAACGGTAAAGTCACTGCCTGGCCTTGGATCGATGAGCTGCCGGGAGATAATAGCGATATCTCATCAGCCGAGGAAAGCCAGAGCTCAACCTGCAGCCTGAGCTCATCGAGCAAGAGCAATCATGTCGAGAGCGACAAGGAATACACTTGCTCCTCGACCAATAAGTATCATGTGAGTACAGTGTAAATTTATATTTGCCATGATGAGAGTTCTCACTCTTCTTCCTTCCTCTGTAATCTCTGCAGATAATACGCAAATCCAATTTGAGTCGCTTTGTGCAGAAGATTGACAAGAGCGCCACCCTGGATGATCAGGCAGCTGACTTGGTGTCCAAGTGCGCCTACGCATTTGTTAGGGATGTGTCCATGCGCTTGGTCAAGCTGGCCAAATATCGCAATGCCGAGCCGAGTTTATTGGATTTGAAGTTTACGCTAAAGCGCGAATATAATATGGAATTTCCGAAGAATAAAAACTCTAATTCTGCGGAATCTTAGCATACAATGAGAAATAAAATATAAATAAATAATTTGTGGAAAAATAATTTTTTTCATTAATATTTCTA